ATATGAAGATTATAAGTTACAACTGTTACAATATTTTCAAAATTTCAAGATAATTCCTGAATGTCCCAAAACCTGTAAATAGTAACCTTGTATTTACATAAACAGGGAAAACCTCATGTCATTAAAAAAACTAAATTAAATGTGAATTTTAAAAGATTTAAGCAGGTGTTTTATAAAATGCAAGCTTTCAGTGAATGCAAATATCACCCAGGGTTGACCCTAACTTCAAAACAAACATCAGTTACAGACAAAGGTGTTCATTAATCTTCATGTGACAGATAAAGATAAGCCTCTAAATTTTCTGCAGCAAGCACGATAATTAATCCCAGGGGATTAATTGTACTGCCCTCTCATCCTTTTCTTCTAAATTTACAATAAGAACTTTTTTCAGCTCTGACAGAATAGGGTTACTATGTGATTACCTATTAAAATTAAGAGCATAAAGGCAGCAAAAAAAAAAAAAAATAAAAAAAAAATGAAATAGTGATAATAAGAAAGAATATCTTAACATATATCTTGATTTTAGAATTCAATAAAATTATCATATTTCATTGTGTACAGTATTTAACCAAAATAAAGTATGAATATTATTTTAAATTCATATTTCAGAGATTGTGCACATCATCCAAAATTGACCTTAACTTAAAAACAAAGTTCATTTGCAGACAGAGGCTACTGGTACAGTAATTAATCTGAATGTGACAGATAAAGATAATGCTTTGGATTTTATTCAGGAGGAATGCTAATTAATCCCTAGGGACTCATAGCAGCATTCACTTTACAATAGGAACATCTTTAGCAGTTATCTCTCTTTGCCCATTCATTATGCAAAGTTAAGGAATCTACCCCACCACCCCAGCTCCAAACCTGAAGATGTAGAGAGACAAACGTAGCATCAAAATATGTATTTCTGCCTACTGAACTACCATACCAAATTTGAACTTGATTGGACAACCATAAAAAAAGTTATTAGCAAAAAACAGAAAATTTGTGGACGGAAGAGTGACAGACGGACAGACAGACAGACACACAGACGGACAGACAGAGTGATTACTATAGGGCACCCGCAAATCCTTGCGGGGCCCTAATAATAAACACTTCAGCTGCAAAAAAAGGGTTAAGATTCTCAACAGTACGACATTTAACACTGGACACGACATAGTCCAGACTTTTTACTACCATTTCTAATTATGATATTCAAAATATTTTATATCACTTGGTGGGATTTCTTAGCAGTATTCCAAGGTCTCATGTTGAAGTCACAAACACCTCCACTTCTAAAAATATGAAGTCCTAAAATTCAGAATTCCACCAAGTATCCCACCATTCTTCCATGGGAGAAAAAGTCAGATGGGATATTTTCTCCCACAAAGTTGCTAAAATGGGATAAATCCCATGAATATTGACAATTTCTCCCAAACATTGTGAAACATGGAATATGTCCCAAAAATTATGACAATGACAATATCTCATCATTATATATACTACTCAAAATTTGATAAGGATCATTGAAATTTTCTATATATTTAGATAATCAATAACTGTATAACTGGCAATATTTTAACCAAATGCAAAAAAAAATGTCTTCAACAAACTTGCACGTGCATTTCATGTCATGGAAATGGTTTCTCGTCACAGTTTATACTTTTGTTACAATTGCACGATTTTCACTCAGGCAGCGGTGTGATTCTTTTTTAAGATTTAAAAGAACTCACCTGAGTGTTTACACTACGTTTATCAACACAATGGCCCCTCAACGTGTAAGGCGTCGCCTGACTACAGAACAACTAGGTAGATGTATTGGAATGCTTGACGCTGGTTATTCACAACGTGATGTTGCAAATGCGCTAAACATCAGCCAGAGCGTTGTAAACAGAGCCTGGAACCAACAGCAAACGTGGTACAGCAGCTCACCGACATGGGGGTGGTCGTCAGAGATCAACAACTCAACGCCAAGACCATTTTGTGGCTCTACAGGCATGACGCCACCCCTTCTGGACAGAAACCAGCCTGCATAACGACCTCCTGAACGCCTCAGGGGTAAATGTCTCGACTCAGACGATACAGAATCGGCTTCACAATGCAGGTCTCAACTCGAGAAGGGCATGTGTTCAAATCCCTCTGACTGTGCGACACCGGCGGGAGCGATTGGACTGGCCGCTGAAGACCATGCCACTTGGACACAGAACGATTGGGTTCCAGTTCTGTTCACCGATGAGTCCAGGTATTGTTTGGGCTTTACAGACAGGAGGCAACGAGTGTGGCGACGACGACGTGAACGTTTTCATGATACCCACATCAGTGAACATGACCGTTATGGTGGTGGTTCCATCATGGTCTGGGGTGGAATCAGCAGGGATGGAAGAACAGATCTTCATGTCCTGGAGAGAGGAACAATGACAGGGATGCGGTACCGGGATGAGATCCTGGATGTTTACGTTAGACCCTACGCTGGTGCTGTTGGCCCTGAGTTCATCCTGATAGATGATAACGCCCGTCCACATCACGCCAGGGTGGTGGAGCAGTACCTTCAACAGGAGACAATTGTCCGTATGGACTGGCCAGCGCGCTCGCCGGACTTGAATCCAATTGAGCATGTATGGAACATGCTGCAAGTTGCCCTTTCACGCCATAGAGCACAACCCACGACTTTGGCAGAGCTGGGAAACGCCCTCATTGAAGAGTGGAACAACCTTCCCCATTGGAAACATCCGGGTGCTTATTGACAGCATGGTTCGATGTTGTCAAGACGTCATTGATGCAAGGGGAGGCCATACTCGGTATTGACACTACATCGACTATTTGTGATGATGGACTTTCTCGAAAAACTGTAATTTTTTCTCTAGTTTTCTGTTTACTTTCTTGTAATGAAATGCCTTTTGGTGTTGTTATAAGATTTCAAGCATTCCTTATCGGTAAAAGTTCATGTTGTTCATAGATACCTATTCATAACCTGAGTAAACACATGTTTGAGTTAAATCTTTGTCTGTTGTTATGTTAGTGGTAAATTACACATATATAACCTAGTGATCCTTATCAAATTTTGAGTAGTATATATAGAATATGCTCAGTATTCCAAATATAACAATGCATAGGAAAAATAATTTCATGTCAATATTTGTGGAATTTATCCCATTTGAACAAATATATGGGAGAAAAAATCCCCTAGGAGAAAATATCCCTTCTGATTTTTATCTCCCATGGGAGAATGGTGGGATAGTTGGTAAAAATATTTTGGATATCATAATTAGAAATGGTAGTAAAAAGTTTGGACTATGTCGTGTCCAAAGTAAAATGTCGTACTGTTTCTCATTTTTTTTTTCCAAAATACCATTTTTAGGTACATGGCGTTTGCATTATTTGCAGTATATTAATTAAATATTTACAAAAAAAAATTAATTTATTTTATCAATTTTAACATGTTTAAACTAAAACATATTTTAAGTTATGCTTGCAATCAAATACACTGTACTTAAAATCAATAATTATTAAAATATTCAAAATCTAATTTTATTTTCAGTTTATGGTCTTGGACCCTGAATTTCTAAGAATCAAAATATGTGCAAAATCGTCACTTTATTGATAGAATTATCATACAGAACAAACATGAACCCCATTCTTTTCACTACTCTTCAAACTCATAAAAGTTCGCTTAAAAACCACATGTTGGTGTAAAAATCCGTTCATGTGATGTCAACCAGGTGTTAATACTCTGGTACGAATCGAAGTCACCCTACATGAAATTAGACCAAAACACAGGTATGATAAGGCTTCCCAGAGAATATTGTAGTGTACTCTGTGCATGCATGCACTTCTCTGAACTACAAATGTATGATGTCATACATGAAAATGAAGTCAAGTCACAGCAAACTTAAGCTGTAAAGATGGGGAGAGTGTCATAAACTTTACATCTTATTTCAATCGACATATAAAGATGCAGAATGCTAGTTTAAGATGAACGTGTTTTATCATTTTTTCAAAAATTTAATACAACCAAATAATTTAGATAACTTTGCTTTATTACTCTAATTTAAGAGTCAGCGTGTTCAAACTACGTACGAAAATACACGTTTGTAATTTATCCTTTTTTAAACCCATGGACAGAGACAGAATTCATAATACATGATTGTATGTGCATAAAAGAGCCTGGTGCAGGTGATTAATGAGGATTCATTTCATATATTTGTGGAAATATATAAGAGGAGTTTCTCCTCTAACTGAATCCTGCTTGGGAAAAATGTATGATGGCTTTGTTATTAATCAGATGATGATATTCAGCGGAAAATACCCTCAGATTTGTCGGTAAGTTAAAGTTAATGTGAAATTAATTGTACCAAAGAAATAGTATAACTTTTTCCAAGCAAATTTCGGGTTCATAAGGATCTAACGAGTTTATTTTTGTTACAAAAAGTTAATAGTAATTGTGTTAATAACTTGCGCTGAAGCGATTTATGTGAAACATTCCAAAAAAGAAGAAATGACCGTCACTTGTTCAATAGGTCATGTGATATCATAACATTTTTAGCTCCATGCAGGAAGCCTTAACAGTGCTGCAAAATGTAGGAGGAGTAGCTGTTTAAAAAAATGTTTACAAACGGATTGACAGATAGACGGATGAGGGACACCAAGGTACTATCGCATAACCTCCTCTGGTTTCTTACCAGTAGTGCTATAAATTAGGGAAATTGAGTTTACAAAATATGTTAAAACTCAGAAATGTTTCCATAATTCTATTAAAAAATGTAAGGGATATTTGATTATCAAGGACAATGAAACGCAGACTTGGAGTAGAATTGTGCATTGATTTAAAGCCAAAATAAGCCAAATTGGATCCCTCCTATTGTTGAATTTAATTACACTTTTTTCATAATAAAGCAGCAGCAGAAAACACATCGATACTGTCCTCTCATATCTCACGGTCATCAAATTAATTAAGTCATATTAAGTCATATATGACTGACGTGTGTAACAAATGCTTTAAAAAATTCAAATGTACCTACATATACATGCATGCAAGGCTGTCACAAAATACCAGAAATATCCAATCCAGTCTTTACTTTCAGAATTGTCTGGTGGATCTGGTGGATCTGCAAAAGATGAATAAAAAGTAAACCATAGATAATTTTAATGGATAAAATTGTGCCAGTCTCTACTATATTGCCTGAATTAAGAAAATGCAATATTGCTATAATCATTTAATCATTTCACAACAGTCATCTGAAGCAAATTTTTACGTTACTGGCAACTTTCCTGTACTAGCTAGGTGTTTAGTTATCAATAAAGTTAACATTTTTGCATTTAAATGTCTTTAAGAAAATATATTTTTGATTATTTTACAAATGATTCAATTTCACTGAAAGCACTATACTGTCACTCAGTATCAATATCATCGAATAAAACTGAGTGTCAAGCAAAAGATATTTGATCAAACTTTTCACAAACTGTTCCAAAGCATGCTATGGTTTCAAAGTGACACTGCATGTACTGATGACAACTAAGATGCATTTATATATCATACTGTATCAAATCAACTTAAAGTTAATTTTTCGAAGGAGTCATAAATTGTGGAATCCTAATTTCTTTTTAATGTCATTGTACATACATGTATGTCTTTTTTGTATCTTAAGTGTTGCTTTGACAAAGTTTATTTAATGCCATTACTTCATTATTCCTCAAAAACTACTTGACCTACATAACTTTGTGCCAGCTAGCTTACATAGTGTATATAAATCCTATTTGACAAAATATGTCTACAGTACCTTCTTGTTTGACTATGTCATCATTAGGTATATTCCATCCAGGAATCTCTTTTGGACAGGGTGTGCTTGAATCATCTGTGTTTCCATTAACAGCTACACAAAGAAAATTTCACAACTTATTACACAACATGAAGCATTTATTTAAAATTTATTCACATATTACAATGTAACAGTATCTAGTTGAACTACATGTATGACTTCTATTGTTAAATTAAATTATATAAGCTGTTCCTTAATTCAAATGGTAAGTCTTTTAATTAAATATCAATTTTCATTCTTGTGTATATACATGTACTCCAATTTTTACGAATACTATATACTCCAATTTTTACAAATACTATCTTTTCAAAACGAAATCAATACCCTGAGAGTTAGACAAAGAGTCCAAAATTTTCAAAATGCCCAGAAATGATCAAAAGGGATATCACATCATCAACAGAGTTCTAATAAACCACTTGTACAAGTATTATAACAGACATTACAAGATGTCTTAATAACAATACTGTATAAGTCCTATTAATCGCCCCTGTCCCTATAAGCGCCCCCTTAAGTCTTTTTTTAATTTAATTGTCAGGATATAAGCCCCCCTGTACAGTGATAAAAATCAAAAAATGGTATCACTGAAGAAAGTGAAAATGAAACTGATGGATTATCTTCACTTTAAGTAAAGTTGGACATTTATTTATTTTAGTGGTTCCTTGTATTTATTTTTTTTTTTTCAAAAATTTTTGAAAGTTAAATATGACATTAAATATCATAAAGAAAATACCAAAATAACCGCCCCCTTTTTTGCAATTTTCTTAGTGCCCAGGTCGGTTAATAGGATTTATACAATAATATACAAAAGTACAGTTTAAAATAAAAAGAATCAATACCAAACACAGTACAAGTATCTGTCCTCTGGGCATTTTTATTTTTAACTGCATCACATTTTGGAGGTTCTTCCTTCTTTGAAAAGTTTTCATGTCTAGAAGCTGAAGCAGAGTATTCACTACCCAATACTGCTCTCTTTGAACCTGTGTTTGTACCATCAACTACTGTAAAAGCAGAAAATTTTGTTTCAATTTTGTTATTTCGTTACTTTTGAAACAACAAAATTTAATGCCTACTAAACTGTTTTAGATAACAAATCAACGAAGTTTGTGTTTTTACAGAATACGGAGGAATACATATATTTACATGTACATCGCTGTAGGCATGTAATGCATGACATTTTGCACATTTCATTTTACACTGATTTAATATAAATACACCAGTGTATTTTTACAGAATAGTATAAACACATGAGGCCAATATGCAATAAAGATCACCTGATTAATCATTGCCATGCTGTTCTTTAAGATGCCTCCCCCCCATTGTAATACCTACTGTAACCCCACCTATCCCTATGGGTCATCATTTGGACAATTTAGAATCTACACTACCCCGGATGCTTTCATAAGTTTCAGTTTGTTTGGCCCAGCGGTTCTTGCATTGAGAAGAGAATTTTTGAAAGATTTTCTCTATATATGTATATTTCAATGTAAAATGTGCATTCTCTATTGTGGTCCCGCCCTACCCCTTGGGGATCATGATTAGGACATGTGCAATTTCGAATCTACACTACCCCAAGATGCTTCCAGACACGTTTCTGGGATTGTCGCACAATTATTCTCAAGAAGAAAACGTTTAAATTTTTATTCCTATATTTTTGAATGTAAAACTTTTGATTCCTTTAGGGACCCTGCCCTACACCAAGGGGTCATGATTTAAATTAGAATTAAAACTACCCCAGGATGCTTCCATGTAAGTTTCAACTCTACTAGCACAGTGGTTTCTTTGAAGAAAATTTTTGAATTTTTTCCCAAATGAAAATACATGTTCTTGAATGAAAAAATTGGATTCCCTATTGTGGTGCCACTCTACTCCCTGGGGTCAGGATTTGAACAATTGAGGATGTACACAACCCCTGGATGCTTCAACATACATTTCAGTATTTCTGGTCATATTGTGGTTCTTGAGAAGAAGATTTTTTCCTTTTATTTACATTGTATTTGAATATGAAATATGGAATTTCAATATTTTGGCCCCACTCTATACCTGGGAGTGTCATCATTTGAACGATTTTGAATCTACACTACCTTAAGTTGCTTCCATATTACTTTCAGCCTACCTGGCACAGTTGTTCATGAAAAGAAAATTTTAAAAAATTTCTATATATTTGAATGTAAAAAAATTTTAGGACCCGACTTACATGTACCCCACGGGTCATGAATTGAACAATGTTGAATCCACACTACTCAGCTGCTCCCACACAAGTCTCAGCTTTTGAGGTCTATTGATTCTTAAGAAGATTTTAATGACCCCAACCTATGTTTTTCTTTTCTTGATTATCTCCCCTTGCAAGGGGACTTGGTCTTTCATTTAAATAATTGAACTTTCTCAGGAAATTCACACATAGATTCTGGGTTATATAAAGTTTGGTTTAAATTGGCCTAGTGGTTCTTGAAGTTGAAAATGTGAAAGCTAAACAGATGGTTGGACAAACAGCTAGACAAAGGGAAGCATGGACAGACAACAGACAATGGGTGATCAGAAAAGCTCATTTGATCTTTCAGCTCAGGTGAGCTAAAAAAATATACAACTTAGCACTTGTGGGTCCTGTTTGTAAAACTCACTGCCAGCAGGCATATTCAAAATAAAATTTTCACTGAGAGGCAATATCTTTCTGAATTTCAATTGGTCATGGTGATGAACAATCATTATAATAAAGCATAATTATGATATGTGGAAGGAAAAGCTTTGAAGAATCTATTTTATCAATTTTAACAAGCGGCCCATGGGTCACATTGATGGACATCAACACCATAAACATAAAAAACTATAATTTGGTAATATTCCTATGACCCATGTTTATTTTTATGCAGAATTCCATTGTAACGACTTACCTGGCATAAGTACTTTCCTTGAAAATTTTCCTTCTTCTAACCAAACACAAAATTGTTGTCCAAAAGGATATATTTTATGCAGTACATCTATGTAATAGCAAGAATTAAAAAAATTAATACCATGATTAAGGCTACATTGTATGTATTTAAAATTGAATTTAATACAATGGTTCTCAGGCCCACATGCATCTGTTTGAGATACCTGCATAATTTAAATAAAATAAAAGTTACTTAGTACATGTAATATATGCAGAGATCATTTTAAAAAAAGTTCCATCCTCATTAGTACAATATGTTCATGCTTTGATAAGCAATGGATAATGCAAACCTATTGATCTTATTTTATGATTAAAATTTCGTATTAAAATTCCTCTTTTATCTACTTTTAATTATCACAAGTAAAATTTATATATATTTTTTAAAAGCCTCCATCCCACATCTGTTATGGAGAAAATCAGCCTGAGAACCAGAGAATTAAATTTATATTAACCAGTAAGGATTAAAGGCTTATGTAAATTGATCAACACATTTATAAAGTACCATATTTGAAGGGAAGGAATTCAAGTGCTTGATCAATCTCCAAAGTAAGGATTGGATGGGAGGAAGAAACTTCTGGTAACTTGATTGACTTTAAAGAAAAAAAATTCTGTAACAACAACAAATTCATTTTGTGATTATCTGTAAGAAAGAAAAAACTTTATTTTGTTAATGGAAACTTTAAAAAATAAAAAAAAAACTGTTTATCTAAATGTTGTTAAAAATTGACAAATATTCTTTCATTGATACAGAAATAAACTGAAACTTTCTTTTACTTGGACAGTGGTCTCATTCCTCATCCGCTTGGTGGAATTGTTATCCAAGTAGTACAAAGTGAAAGTGAAATTGTAGGTAGAGGAGCTAACAACTTCCACATGTTCAAATGATAAACCATTCTGTCTTTCTTTGTAACCTTCAAAATGATGCAAAACATTAAAGTTACACATTCATAATTTTCCAATACTACATCCCATATAGACAATACATGCACACTGTGATTCTTTTTGATTTGAGTCCTACATAAATTACATACATTTTTTCAAGATTTAAAAAAAAACAAGAGGCTCAGGGGCTATGTCACTCAACTGAGCACTTTGGCTGGAAAAAAGCTGAGATCAGTTCAATTTTGAAAAATCTAAACACAATGTGGTTGGGGTTTGATTTGAACAAACTTGAATCTACACTTCTGAAGGATGTTTTTGAATTAATATGACATATAATCATGGCCTGGCTGTTATTAACGACGTTCGATCCTGACATTAAAAGTCTTAAACTTTTTTCTGCCAAATACATTTTTAGTTTCTACATACATATACATGTATAAGCTTAATTAAAATTCAAATCAAAAAATGGGGGTCAATATGCTTCTTTTGGCGCTACAGTACATTTAATATTACCTTTTTGCACTAAAATTTGTGTCTTAATTAAAAATTACATCTTCAATGTTTTCCCACCAATATTTTCATCCAATTAAAGCATGAAACAAAATGAACACCAAGTCTGTTTAAAAAAAGACACTTATAGATTGTAATTAAGAAAAAGTTTCAAATTGCTCCCCTTTATCAATTATTTGACTTTTCTGCACTAATAAAATGTTATTTTTCCGGCCTTGAAAATTTGATAAGCAAGAAAATTATTTTAAAGTCCTAAATTTTTTCTGATTTTAAGCAAATAGGTAAAAGTTATCTTAATTATTTAGAAAAGAACATTGAAAGTGGGTGTATATGATATACATTTTCAAATATTACTTAAAAAGAGTCAAAAACGCGCATCATGGAATATGCCAGCAGTGCAATTGCTATTCATAACGCCATGTTCACTGAATAACGTTGTTTATTTCTTAATTAATCACAGTTTTTTCATTGAATATGGTTTAATTTGCATTGTAGAATTTAGTTTTATTGTTAGAACTTAAATATAATTCTAAATTTCATAAATATAGGACCTGACCCAAATACGCTCAAATCTCAGGAAATTCGGGACAATGTCTCACTTCCGACTGCCCTATTGTGGCCTCAGTGTAAATTTAAAATCAAAATTAGTTTTATTTCTAAAACAAGTATTATTTTAAGTTCTTAATTACAAACTTTAACAATTTTAGATATGTTTTAAATTTCACAACAAATAAGGGGCCAAATTCGACGATTATCATACCTTAAATTGTCCTTTATATCTACATTATTAACATACCTTGTCCTTTATATCTACATTACCTGATACATGTATTACTTTTACTTTATTATTACAAATAATAACTTTGATGCACTTGAGAAGAAGATCTTTAATAATTTTCCTAGTAAGAATATATTCCTGCGTATAACTTTGATACCCAATTGTGGCCCTATCCTAGCCTCAAGGGTCATGATATATAAGGTACTTTGCATTCTTGTAAAATTAGTTGAAAATGGCCCAAAGGTTCTTAAGAAGAAGTCGAAAATGAGAAAATTTTCAGAGGGAAAGACAGGTAGACAGGCATCATGTCTTACCAGAGATACACTGTGAGGTTAATTGTTCATAATTTCCAGTATTTAAAGATTAACCAGCTCAGTTGAGCTAACAAGAAATCTGTGAGCCAATGTTCACTAGTAATACCCCCACTCTGATGTGAATAAACACTACCATGTTAATATATATATACAAGCTCAATTACAGGCAAATGCACAGAAAAATATGAAGTTGACATCAGATTAACATCAAAATGAATCCCACTATATAACATGTCTCAACAAAGAGTGTACTAAAATTTCAAGCATCTGCGATGAGTAGTTGCTGAAAAAACTGAGAGGAAAAATTGTTATGTATGAAACAGACAGACGCACAGACAAACAAGAAGTTGACAACCGATTTGTACAAAAATGTATCCCACCATCGGGCATGCCTCAGAGAAGATTGTGTTAAAATTTCAAGCTTCTGCGATGAGTAGTTGCTGACAGACGGACGGACAGCTAGCTGTTCTTACGAGAGGTATATTGTGGGGTAAAATTAACGTATTTTCCAGCAGTGTGGGGTTTTTTGGGTACTGTGGGGTTAACCCCATAATGAAGAGGTCTAATTACGTTCAAAATTACTCTATGAGGTCGAAAAACCTAAAATTAGATTTAACCTCACAAAGACTTTGTCCAAATTTTGGACATGTCCTTAGCCCAAAACGCTCAGACATTCAGAAATCTGCTGTTTAGAGGAGTTCGGTAATTGAATCGAGGAGTTCCGAATACCTGAGCATGCGCATATATTTAAAACTAACTGCGCATGCGCAGAATACGGAAGTAGCTGTGTTTGGACATTTTGTATTAGCAGTGAGGAAATTCGGAAACACAAAAAGCAAATGCAGTAAGTCTTACTATTTTGTTGCACCACATTGAAAAAAAGCTTTGTAAGTTGTTTGATATGATTCATACGTACATTATGCAGTTGTAGAATTTATTTAAAGTCAAGGAAAGGACACTTGTAGTCCACATAAACACATACCGATTGAAAACGGGCTTTTGTGAAAAAAATTATAATGAATGCACTGATAGTTCTTTTTTTAATCAGAGGTCTGCAATGAAAATCGACCGATACCAGGGGGTCGAGCTAGTTGTTTTCTGCAAGAGGGTCGCCCCGTTGGCCAGTAAAAAAAGATAATATTATTTATACACGTGCAATACATGCAAAGCACACCTGGTACGTATTTTCACTCGTTTTTTGCAACAAAAATCCAAACCATTTAAATTTTCCATATAACATGCTCCAACTGTCAATAAATCTCCATAATTTAATCCGTGTTGGAGTACTACTTGGCTTATTTACTTCAAAAAACGATCGTGTTTTTTTCTTAATTCGAATTTTCTCTATATCTATGGTAATTACATGCAGATATCTCAAAACATAATTACATGTGATTCTTCCGATGGGAGACAAAATCTCTGGATTTTTCACGCCTCTTCCGCCCCTTCCGATTAATTTTTAAATCATCCGTGTTTAAATTTTTTTCAAATTGAATATTTTTGGCTTTAATTTTATCCTGTTTCGTAGTATAATTGCTCTCTCTCTCTCTCTCTCTCTCTCTCTCTCTCTATTCATTCTAGATACGTACCAATTGTTTATCTACTCTTCACACATTTGTTTACATGTACTTGTCATCGTACCTTAATCTATAGAGAAAAAATCAGAATGGAAAAATGGAATTAATGTCACTGCAATAAATTTTCGCAGCAAGTAGGAATCGTAGGAATCAACATGAGGTTGTATAATTAGGTTGTAAAATTTAGTGGTATATCAATTTGATAAATGACAATCAATGTTTATAAATGAGTGTAGGACATTTTAATCAGTTGTTAAAATACCCAATATGTCACATTGCTTACACAGTCGCTTGTGTAATTATGTGCCGGATAAAAAAATTCACCTATTAAAGAAATTAAACAAATTACCTTTAGATACGTATATATAACTCTCTTTGTGTTAATGAAAAAAATATAATTGTCCAGTAAGATCAATTTGTACTTATTTTTCAAGATCGACCATTGAAAATTTAAAAGAATTAAATCACAATTAATAGTTTTTCTATAGCTAAACTTAAAGAAATTCAAGCTTAAAGCTTCATTTTGTAATTTACAATATTAATTCATCATTACTTTGAATATTTACAGTGAGAGTATGTAACTTAGCTAATACAGGTCTATCAGTATTTTCACACCTGTTAGATTTTGATTCCGTGTAGAAGCTCTAATTGCAACTCTTGTCAAAACAAATGATTTGTATAGCATGATTATCTCGTGAATTTCACCATCAGGAGACGATCGATAGGGATTAGTTACGCTCTGGTGCACTTGACACCTGTGTTGTAGTAGAATGATTTTAAACTGCGTTAATACAAATCTTTGGTCAATTGAATAATTTTTTGTGTGTGTCTGTATGTTAGATAGAAATTCTGACAGCTTTATAAAAATAATATTAAAAATTTACCAGACTTTAAAAACTTCAGCAAAGTAGTTGATCGAGGATTAATTGAAAGGGGGGGGGGGGGGGGTTACACTGCTGATCATTACCTGAACATATTATAGTGAAGTTTTTAAATGAATTTTATTGACACTTACTGAAATAAATTTTTATACTTTATTTAATTCACCATTAAACTGTCTTTTAATTAAAGCTTTTATATTTTTTCTTATTAAAAAAATAGATAGTAGTAAGGCACATGTATTTCTTCTTGAATGATTTGAATGTTACAAAAGAACACTAAGAGTTCCCGAAACTAGTCAGAAATATGTCGGACAATTGTCTTGTAAATATTCAAAATTCACCGGACAGTTGTAAAATTTACCGGACATTAATTTTTTGTATGTAAATTTAACATATTATAGGATTGGAAATTGTAACGATATAATAAATGATATGTGTAAATAAAAAGATGGCAGATTTAAAAAAAAAAATTATTGAAATATTTTGTATATGGCCTTTGTATGCAGGATTTGACGTTGCCGAAGGCGTGTGATGACCAACGCTTAATTCATGTATAAATTTATTATGTCCTTTCTGACAGATTTTTAAAATGTTTTTAAAAATAAAATCAGCAACATGACAACTCTTGGTTGATTGTTTGGAAAATATGTTGTTTTCCAGGCTTTTTTCTTTTGGATTTTTGTATTTTATGTGCCAGGAAAAATATTACGTAAAATATCAAACTCGTTTTAAAAAGCCTGGTAAAACGTCCGATATTTCTGACTAGTTAAAATTTATTATACAACCTCCATACAGTTAAAAATATGTACTAATGATATAAAGATATGCAAATTTATCATGAAAATGATGATTTTAAGTGAATTTGTTGTCGTTTTACTACATTCAAGTCAATCCGCTATTTTTAGAAAAGGGGAAAAACGCGCTTGTATTTTAAATGCTATCAAATACATTTAAAAAAATCCAGA